TCCAATAGGTAGTGATTTAAACTAGTGACAAGTCTTCTATCCCTGTATAAGATTCTATCTGGTATGTGACTACATTCCTGATAATGTTTAAATGGATGTATATTAGATTAAAAGTGATAATTTAGTAGCTATACTTAATTATAGATAGTGTTACTGTAACTCTATATATGTATATATAGTAGAAGACATTTGATATATTGATTATGATATTTCTATCAATAAAAATTACACATCTATGTGAAGTTTGCCACTTAAAAAAAAAAAAATAAAAAAAAATAAATTATATTTTTTTATTAAAAAAAAAATTATAATGCTTTATTAACTTTATCAAATTGGATAAAAATATATCACTAGAAAGTTAATATGTATAAATTTGGTATATAAAACAATTAATATAATATTCTATTTTCATTTTGTTCAATAACTATCTTAAAACATTTTCTTATTGACTCTATTAACTTGATTAAGGTATATCAAGGAATTTTATACTATTTCTTTTTCAAAAATAGTATTAACCGATCACAATTCATGGCATCCACCTTTCCATATTATTTTTGACAATTGTTTATAAGTTTTTTATGAGGTTCAAGTTAGATGAATTGACAAGTCAATCAGTGATTTCAGAAATATTCTCAATAATAAATATTTGAGTGATCTTATAGATATGTTTTGGATCATTATTCTGTTGCAATCGTTATCAAGTTCCTAGTATATTATTGATTTTATAAAGGTATATATGAAGAATTCTATATAAAATTTGACATTTATTATTTTTTTAAAATAAAATAAATTAATTTTTCTTTCTTTATAAAAACTATCTCAAGCAAATATCTTTAGAAATTGCATAAGTTGACCATAGACCTTTATACTATTGTTCTAAAATATTTCAAAATAAGCAAAAGGTTGTCTCGTCAATAAAAACTATATAATTCTAGTTATCATTTAGATACCGATAATTATATTTTATCAGTTTTTTTTTTTTTATGCCCCCATAAGCATTGATATAGTTAAAAGGTGACTTTTTTTATAAACAAGAAAAGACAAATAGTATCCAATAGTCCTATAACTCACTTGAATATATATATTTTTTTAACTTTTTTGTTAAAGTTCTCATTGAAATTATTGAATTTCACTGAACATATTGATTTAATGTATACGATATTTCCTTCACAACCTTTCAAAACTGACTGTTACCCTTCACATACTACACTATTTCTGTTTTTTTTTGTTTTTTTTTAAAATACTATATATTATAGAATATGAAATACTAGTTTATCATTGAATTTCAGCTACATCTCATATTTCCTCATTTCAAAAATGTAATACAAATTGATATTGTGTTTCATACTTGGATAAGGACATTTTATATGAAAATAAATTAGAAATTTTAATAATAAATATATATATATAAAAATGCCATATTTTACTATTTACCTGATGTTTCTTTCCAAGAAGTTTTAATTATAACATGTTGAAATTGAAAAGGTTAGACATATTTTATTAAATCTATTTTTTGTTCAATTATTTTTGCCCCACATTGTATATTTTTTTAAATAATTAAATTTTTTAATATTTAGAATAGTATAAAAGTTTTTAAATTGATAAAGTAATAATAAAATTCTTATTAATTATAATATTTTTTTATAATTTCCAAAAAAAAAGATTATTATTATTATGCCATTGATTTTTTTTTTCTTTAAAAACTTATAATAGATAGAAAAGATATTTTTTAACTTTTTTAAATTATAAAAAGTTAAGTTTTTTTATAAAAAGAATTCTTGAAAATATTTTTCAAATTGGTTTAAAGAAAATAATAAAAATTTATTAATGCAAAAGCATAAAATTTCATGTAAATATCTTTTTTGTATATTGTTAAAGAATTACATACTTTGAAAGAATTTTTATTTTGTTGTTACTATCTATACTATGTAGATAAATTTTATTTGATGAATTTTTTTATTTAAGCATAATGAAATCTAAAGTTTCTTAATACAATTTAAAATTAAAATTGATATAAAACTAGAGACCTTGTGATTGGCAATCTGGAAACGCTATCACTGTGCTATGGACCCGCAGGTCTTTAATTTTAAAATAATTTACAATATCAAAACGGAAAAAAAATTTTTTGAAAGTCTATTTTTTTTTTTTCAAAAAAATTTTTAATTATGAATCTTGATTCGTTTCAAAATATCAATTTGTAATTAGCATTGGAAAGCAGAATTCACGTAGTTTAATAATCGCGCGCGTTCTTATTAACGATAATACCCAGACAGATGCAATCATCTCTTTACCACTGAAAGTGCTGTATTTAATTCTTTGCTAACTACGAATGTCAAATATAATCTAACACTGCTTTTAAGAAGCTTAGGTTTATTGAAATGCGACGTCAAATCGTTCGGCTACCACTTTTCCCCCGCCACTTGCAAATCCAGTACCTAAAAATAAAACATACAATTAATTTACAATACAAATTAAATGTAAAAATGGCAATATTCACCTTCTCCAGACATGTCGGTAATGTCCTTTTCCTTGCACTTCACTTCACAAACAAAACATTTTTTTGATTTTTTAATAAACTTTTCCACGCAAACTTTACAAACGACATGCCCGCATGGTTTCATCACTAGGGTACAAAAAAAGTTAATGTAAAGTGATAAATTATATTAGATTATATTATATTTATACATACAACAAATCTTGATAGAATTCGTCAATGTTCTACGACATGACGGGCAGACAAAACTTATTTTCTTGGAATTGGGATCTTTATCCTCTGTAAATTTTGTTGGAATCAAGTTTTTTACACTACAACAAGAGACGAATTAATACGAGGAGTGCTCAAATGAATCTTTGAATTGTCATTCTAAAGGGTAGAAAATACCTAAGGGGGTGTTCGGGATCGGCTACGGTACACATAGTCTGCAACTTCACCGATTTTATCTTATCGGGGTCTGCGGAGGATGTGAGCGATGGCTATAAAATAATTAAAATTCGAGAAGTCACGATATTATAAAAAAGGCGCACCTGGGATAACCACTTACCAGCCAGAAATTTGGCAATTTGGGTTTCGTTGCGGCTAACTAGTAAGGAGCCAAAAAAAAACAAATGCACCCATATTTAGAGATCTTAATCAAGTAGAAAAAAAAAAATTTTTTTAATTTTATTTTATCGTTTATACCCTCTCCTCTTCCAATTTTTTTGATGCCTCTTCCACATCACGTTCCGCTATTGCCGCAATTTCCTCCTCATCAAGTTGAAAGCTTCTTTTTTTCCCCGCTACTATAAGATATTATTTTTGAATTGCATATTTATAACCAAACCTATAAGAAGTAACGTTGTTCAATGAAAAATTCTTTACTCTGAGATGACTCTGCACCCTTATTGGATCTTGCCGAACGACTATCGCTCCTTATTAATTCGAGAGATTTATTATTATCACTGGTTTTTTGAACGTCATTCGAGCTACCACTTGGTCCAAACGGAGCAATTCGAACTTGTTGACGTTCAAAATCCTGAATCACTGCCTCTTTAGCCAATTCTTCCTTACGTTTAGCTTCCTCCGCTTCATCTTTTACCCTCGATTCAAGAATAAGCTGTTGTCGTTTAATCTCCTTTTTTTGTGCCAAAATGTTTTCCAATATGCATTCTCGACAGAATAGATGCCCTTGAGTGCAACAAACCGGATCACGGGCCCTCTGTAGACAGAGGAAGCATGCATCATATTCTCTCATGGATTCTCTACCCAAACGTTGCTTTTAAAAGTAACAATGGCTTTTTAATTGTCATTACACGTGTTCTTCAAAATATTCCAAGTTGACTACCTTCTTTGTCCCATATTCCAACGCTTTTCCTTCCGCATACGTAAAGAATGAGAGTGCCGTATTGTTTTTACTATGTCGAGGCATCGTATATTGATTGATTTGATACTTGCATTCTCACTTTATATATATTTGTATGGGTTACACAAACATTTGGAGATAGCCAAAAAAAAACGAGGTACAGTACTTGGAGAGAAGATTTTATTAAGTGTTATTAACCAGAACCAAGAGGCATTTAGAGATAAAATTTAGAGATAAAATATGGTGGATATATTAAAGAGGATTGGTTTAGGCTAGTAAACGAGAACAATGACTCTTATATGTAATGCATCACCAGTTATCTGTATGCACATTATATTTTTTAAAAAAAAAAGAACGACTTTTTTTAATAATAATAATAATGATATATATGCATCTATTATATTAAATGAACTTATTTAAGTTGATTTTTAAAGATGTTTTTGCCTTGCTTTGTTGTCATTTAATAAATCTTATTGCATTGCATCATTTCTTATTTAGAAATATTTAATTAAAAAATTGTTATAATTAAACAATATAAAAAAAATATCTTACATAGTAAAGAATTTATATTTAAAAAAGTGGAATTCAAAAATCTATCAAATAGAGTATACAAAAAAAAAGAGGTTTATTTATAAATTAGAAAAAAAGTTTACAATTATGCATGTATTTTTTTTTTTTTTTTCAAAAAGGATTTTTAAATTAAATTTTTATCCTTCATGATTCTTTTTGTTGTTTTTTTTTGTGATTAAAACTAATGAAATCTTTGCATTGGATAGTTAAAAATTTTCTAGCCTGGACTATCCATCGCGTCATCTGGATATGAATTACAGGCGACGTCTTTCTAAAAAATGCAAGGACCGGTATTAATCGGAAACCACAAATTTAAAAAATGCAAGGACCGGTATTAATCGGAAACCACAAATTTAAAAAATGCAAGGACCGGTATTAATCGGAAATTTAAAAAATGCAAGGACCGGTATTAATCGGAAACCACAAATTGTTGCGCATTTACCTTAATATCTAATGAACCCGCAAAGTTATTTGTTCGAAGAGAGCGCAAAGTAATTAATTTAAAGAGATTCCGCTTAATAATTAAATTATGAATTATAACTGCATCAATTTATATCTCATAATTTCTGAATTTTTTATACAAGTCATCTTGATTGTTTCTTCTTCTGTAAAGTGGGATGCTGATGGTGTTGGATGACGGAATTGTAGTAGCGGCAGCGTTGGATGATAAACTTGGAGATTCTATGGAAGTGATTTGAAGTTGTTGTTTCGGTTGTTTCCAATGGACAGCCTGATGAAAAACGGTAGCTGTGAACGAGGCATTACCATATAGAAAGGTGAAGACATAATATATGGCACAGTACATGTCCTTTTTTGACAACTATCTCTTTCCACATTTTATAGGGAATCCTAATCGATCCCGTTAACCATTTGTCGTAGTGAACTCGTTCAGTCTGGTCGCCGAGAATTTCGTAGGCTGCCGAGAGTTGATGAAATTTGGCTTCAGCTTTTTTTTTTGTGTAGGAGAGAAACAAAAGTGGATGGTAGGTAAATATACTGTATATATATGTGAGGTGAATGAAATGTATGAAGAAACAGACGAACCATCTTTCTTGTCCTCGGGGCTTTGGAATTTATCAGGATGACAACTTAGCACACGTTTTTTATATTCCGTAGAAATTTGATCTGACTATAAAAAAAAAAAAAAAAACGAAAAAACGAATTGATAAAATTTGCGTTGAAACTTCGCAAGCGTTGTTACGAATACCAACGGTGCTTGACGGAACGCAACCAAGAATTTCGTATAAATTCTCGTGAAATTTATCTTCTTCCGTCGTAGAATTGAGCGAATCGAGGATCGATTTAAAGTCCATGTTAATGTTTCCCTAGTCGTTCATTACGCTGTATTTGTGATACTCCAAACGCCTCTTAATACATATCGCATCTCTGCCTCATTTGTCCGTTAGTATTACGTAAATCCTAGGTGATTAACATATTTAATTCAGAGCAGGATCCGGTTTTAATAATGAAAGTTGATTTCGAAAGTTACCGGTTCCTCCTTTATAATTAATTAATCCTCTCGGAACTACCAAAATGGAAACGAAATTTCTTCTGGGTGTATGTGAGTGGTGCGCAGGGTTCTCAATTGATGATTAATTATGAAATCACGGCGTTTATTATTTGACGCAAGAATGAAGACTCCCGCGAATTAGCTGAAGCTAGCGGCGATTTCAAGTGACCTCTGTTCTCATTGTATTATCATCCATTTTCTGACATATGCGTCATGTGAGTTCGCTTTATTGTGGATACGAAAATCGAGTTTTCTTGGAAATAATGATGAGTGACGGTCATTAAAATTTAGAATGTCCCCTCGGTCGATTACGTAATAAAAAATATTCCAAGAATTATCGTAAAAACTCTAATTTATACCTTTACCATGTTCGATCAATTAACATGCATATCTTTTTTACGCACACACTCAAAAATAAGGCTCTCGATGATATGATAAACTACTATCCACGAGATTTTCTTAGCTATACTGTATAATTTGGCCCGTTTTAAAAAAAAATTAAAGAATTATAAGGCAATAGATGACACGGCGATTCGCATATGATCTAATAATGCAGCCAATCAGGAAATAATAATAAACAACGTCATTTGTTTTTGTCCGTCGTAACACCAATGAAAAGCCTCGCTAATTTGTGAAACGTAGCTTTCCATTTTTGCGTGCTCTAGTATCATCTTTTTCCATAGAGAATAAAGTATATAAAAAAAACAATAGTTTATTCTTCTTCGTCACTTCTCATTATCGGTTACATGCATATTCGAAACCATTGATTCCGAAGAATTCAAGGGAAATCGAAAAGCTCTTCTGAACATGCAAATCCTGAGACCGCAAAATAGCACGACGACGGCTTCGAGTAATGCGCAGAAGGGCAAGGCTAAGGTGATTCAGGTTAACAGTCCAATGGCAGGACCTGTGAACGGTAGTCGCCGAAATGGTGACTCACCCTTACCGCAACTTCCAACACAGGACGAAAGGTTTCAACGCGTGATACGTCTCCCCAGCGAACGGATAGACACATACGAAATAAAACGACAACTGAACGATTGTTTGGGGGAAGACGCGAGTATCTATTGGAATGCCTTTAAAAGGCTCATTTACTGCAAGATTCGCCGTCAAGATTTTGAACAGATTGTGAGACCACTTCTTAACGAGCATTGTAGGCCTCAAATTTTATCTTTCCTGTGTACTGTCAATAGGCGATTAAATCATTAATCAATTTCATTATACATAATAGTCGAGCTTCACAATATGATGTTGTTTGCAATTTTGAACAATTGCATTTATGAAGATCCACCACCACCACCGGACCAGCCTGTGAATAAAAAAAAACGAGGTCGCGACGGAGATGATGAACAGCAAATGAGAAAGAACGACGCGGCTCGGGATCCCAAGAAACGAAAAATGAAAGAGCTCATCATGTCTTTGCCCAGAGAGGACCGAGAAAGAATAAAAGCGAACAAGGTTGTTTATTGCTAAAGATGTAGATCAATTGTTTTCGTATGCATGTGAATGAAATGTTCTGAATGCGAATGATACTGGTATCAGGGTTCGAGTCGAGTTGAAAATACACAAAGTGATCATCTATATTTGTCTTTGCCGCCGCCTGGCCCAGAAAGATTACCGATGTATAGCTTCGAAGAACAACAGTTTATATCACAACGTAAGATATTCTAATGTTCGATGTCGCATAGAAGAAAAAAAAGAAAACAAAAGAATGATCCCTTATTCAATTCCTTTTTCTTTTTTTTTTGATAGCCGACCCGGAAAGAGTACCAACCTGCCACGAAATGAAGGCATTACCTGATCACAATACTTTATTTGAAATGATCAGTCAGATTGCGAACTCACACGGCATCACCAATGTCTCCAAAGAGTGCGCAGATTTGCTTAATTATGGATTGGAGGTGAGGTTTGTGAAATCACGATCGCACCTTTAAAGAGCATTTGTCATTAAAAAATTTTTTTCGACAGTCTCACTTGAAGAACATTATTGGTAATTGCCTGCAAAAATCCCGATCTGGTGGATCACTTAATGGTTCATTGGGAATTCGGAATGGTGAGCAAAGATATAGTCGGGCATCCTCAAATCAACAGAAAAAAACGATAACGGCACGGGATCTGGCATTTTCGTTCGAGATGTCACCACATATACTTGTACAACCTGGAATGGCACGCGAGAGATTGACATCCATTGCTCTTAGAGATGATGGAGATTATGAAACAGACGAAGATTATGACGAAGAAGAGGATGATGACGATGACGATGACGACGAAGACTCTGAAGTAGTGGATCATCTGATTTCATAGAATCTTGAGGGAGAAAGAGAAAGAGAAAAAAAAAGATTGGGCTTTGAGGAGCGATCGACTTTTCTCAGTATTTTGTGCGGAAGGAGGCCTACAAACATTAGTATGAGTTGCAACAATTAAATATGGATATATATGCATGTGTATATATCGTTTTTAAGATTACGGGGATTTCATCTGAAAGGAATTTGTGATGGTACCAGAGTAAGCTTTCCACCCTCGGTGCCATTAACTTGTAATCGCCACGAGTAGCGACATTTAAATGCTAGATTTTGGTCTCACACACCGAGAAACGTAACCTCTTTCACCGATGAGCAGCAAGTTCGGTCGAGTTGCCCTTTTTTTTTTCCTTTTTTTTTTTTTTCTTCCCTTCTTTCCTTTTTCTTTTTTTTTTCTTTTTTTTTTTTTTTTTCGAGAAATAAGGTAAATATCTCTTTTCATCAATGTGATAATCGGGTCAAAATAAAAAAGGCACTCACTGACGTTTATTTATTGAAATTTCTTTGCAGCACGGATAATTTTTAGATTCCAAATATTATATGTCTATATATATTTCCCCCACGAAATCTTAATATTGTGATTTCGAAAGTGGCTGGATCTGGGAAAACGCCTAATGTGTAAATATAGTAATTCTCTAGATATATAATAACAAATTTAGGTCATGCAGGATGGTATACGTTTGTATCTTACAAGAAATCGAAAATCATTGAATTTTGTTCCTCCGTGTTGAACAAATTATAAAATTACTTCAGATTCTCAACAAGCGCATTTACTCATTAGATCCAGGCGATGTAGACCACATATCCCTTTTCGAATTCGGAACCATACATTGAGTTCGGCAACCTCCACATGACGAAATTCCTCTTGGTCATCTCTTCCAGAAAATTGTTATGAACGTCGTCGGACCTTAACTCTAAGGCGATAATTACCACCGTCTTCCGAGGCTCTCCTCTATTATCATCATCATCTGTGCCCACGAACTGAACTCTTTTTCTATCGTCACCGCCATCGCCACCATCACCACCATCGCACAATCTAGCCAGGGCCTCAACAAAGGAAACGTTGATGGAGTCATTGAAAACACAATCACTCGCGATAACATAATCCCAATGCTGTCTCATGATGTCCTTGTCGATCTCTTCACCCCAAACCAATTCCGCCACAATCACTTCCTTAGACTTTTGTTCTCCCAGATTTCTTTTGACGTTCTTCCAGAGGTGAGGTATCATTGACCGTTGGTCTGTTAATGCCATCAGTCTCACAAATGAAGAAAGTGCTATGCCCGTTAATCCACATCCAGATCCTAGCTCTATGACATTCGTCTTTTCGGTTGACAGACCTAACCATCTCCGGTTGGCTACCATCAATCTCGATAGCATGATGCTAGAGTCCCACAACACCGATCCCGTTGTACCGCGTGCGGACAGTAGTGATTGGCTTTGTCCGATATTCACAATTATCTGATCTGGATGAAACAAACTGAGAAGGTTTTAAGGAATGATACGATGTTTCCCAATGCATTGAATAGACGGGAAAATCAGGTCTGACCATCAATTGCGACCTCTACGTAATCTTTCTTCTGGGAAACAACACGATTATGCTTCCACTCCAGCGGGCGCCCTTCGGTATACAAAAAAAAGACTTCCTCATATGGATCAACAACCCGAACTGCGCCATCTGGGATGGAGATTGGTGACATCGTGAGCTTAGATTATCTTAAATTAATAGGCGTTTTTTATAAATTGAAATTCGGATGATCAGCTGTTTACTATGTGCGTCGATCTTGTACCACGGTAGATGTACATGTACTCATGTGAATCGACCTCATAACTGAGATTAATGAGCTGTAATGGCATACTTTATTTATTTGATTAAATAATTTGAAGGCTTGAATGCAAAAAAAAAATTGATAATGGTTTGTTTGCACTTCACAGTGTCCTCTTTGAAAGTGATAACATATTAACTCGGGCTATGGGAAAAATATGATAGAAATATTGAAAACGTCACTCTTTTAATGTACTACTAAACTCAGAAGATGACGTCTTCGTCCGTACTCTCCAACAAGTCTGTTGGTTCTCTCCCTAAAAAAAAAAAAAAGAAAAGAAAAGAAAAGGAATAAGATAACAAGGGGACGGGATGCAAAATAAATGAATAAACTTCTCTCACCTTCATCCTCGTCTTCACCTTCGAGAGGCTTTCTGCTTTCTTCGGCTGACTGCTGATCCCTCTTCTTCTTAGCTTGAATCTTTTTCAACCTTCCAGAAATCAAGAGATCAAAATCAGAATTGAATAAATGCATGAAATATTAACAACCCCTTAATTTACCTGAAAAATTCTTCACGATCTTGCTCGTCTAATTCTGAGATGATGTATTTGATCGTGTTCTCTATCCTCGGTATAATGACATGCTCGATTGCATTCACGCGACGATTTGTTATCTTAATAACTTCATCCAATATAACAAATGCTGTCTGAATTCAAGTTATTCTCCGGTCAATTGAATAATTAGCATAATGAGTAGGTGCATTCAGGGAAACCTTACCTGCAAAGAGGCCAATTCAACCAAAGATTCAACAGCTTTAATGTATGTTTCCTTACATTTTTGAATTTGTTGACCACCACGCCCGAGACCAGTCAGTTCGAAGGCTTTGGGCACAAACGAAAAAAATTAACGCGCTAGAAAAAATCGGTTATTGAGCAAGAATAAAAGGCTAGGTTACTACGTGACTAACCGTTTCCTCCCTCCAGGTAACTTTCGAATGCAGGAAGCATTACTCCGGACACATTCTCTTGTTTCGTACGAATGCGTAATTGAGCGGTCTTTGTACTTTCTTGGACTTGATAACTATTAAATATTTGACTCGCATGAATATTATGATAGATTTTGAATGAACTGTTATTGGCAGGCACACACGGACCTAATGTCACCCGCGGTATAGGTAACTTCGGCTAGAGAAAACGAGGCCGCCTGCATTACTTTGCCCATTTTTCGCTTGGCCTTTTATTGGGGGGGGGGGGAGAAGAGTATAGGAGTTAACTTAATACACTCGATCTTGGGATTGAAAAGATTTTTAAGCGACAAGAGCACTCACATCATCGATCTTTTGAACTATAGTTCTAAAACGTTTGGTGAGAGCTTCGCTCTTACGTTTTAACAAGCTGTGACCTGTCTTTGCGCCCTTTAGTCTCATTTTCATCGTGGATAGCGCCCTGATAAAAAAAGTGAGGGTTCGAGTTTTTAACAAGAAAAGAAATTAAATCAGAACTTCTAAAAAGGATGATAAAAGATGGCTACATTCGTGTAGGAAAAACATTGTATCTTGGCCCCGTTCCTGACATCTTAACATAAGAAGTTCAAGTAACGGCAAACAAATTTGGGTGCCCTTTTTATATACGTCGATTAAATGCATTTTTTGATCTGATTTGGTGACCCTGTACTTAATTTGGAAACATTTTAAATTGTGGCTTTATGTCTCATAACAATCACATCCTCTTTTTTCTTTCCCATGTCTTTTCTACAAAAGAGATCAGTCTTTATCTTTCTTTTTCTTTTGATCGTTCTCGCAACCGTCTGTCACTTGTTCGCTGACGATACGGGTCCGATTGAAACTTCAAAATCTGGTTCGTGAAAATAATTTTTTTGTTTCTTTGTAAATATTTTTTATTTAACCCTGGGTTATGCTCCTCTATAGAGAATAAGCGCTACATAATTACACTGAAGAAGGGTGTAGATAAAGCGCAAATGAATGATCTTGAAGCTACCCTCAAAGGTATCGGCGTAAAAATTCTTAAAACCTATAAAACTATATTTAAGGGGTGGGCAGTTGAAATGCCAGAAATGCTAGTCAATTCTTGTAAGGAAGACAGCCGTGTGTTTTCGGTAGAACCTGATCAACCTGGTAAATTCGTTTGGGTTTCTTTTATGCAGACTACTTACACCTTCCTGGTAGTGGCTAATACTCTATTTTTACTTTCAGTATACGCTAATGAAAAACCTGCAACATAAATGCGATCAACTGAGAGTCAGAATAAGTGTAGGTATGTTGAAATTGAATTCAAAAGAAAATACTTGTATGAACTACCAAACGTTAACAGGTAAGGGCTTTTGAACATACAGATCAAATCATTTCCGCAAAAGCGAATATTTCATACATTAACATAAATTTTAAAGTTGGGCAGTGCAACTAAAGGCTCCCTATTTGTTTCAAATCACATCCACCTTGAAGCTACTCTAGCTAATCGTTGGCAATTTATATCTCCACGTTACTATGACCGGTAGCATAGAATCAGATACCCTTTAACATCAACTTGGGCCGATCTTGTATCTGAAAAATCCAAATTGGCTATTATCGATACCTTCATTACTTATCAATGTAGAATTTGACTCGGTAATATACTGTATACATATTGGATCATTAAATAATAAAATTAGTTGATAAAAAAAAGGTTTACAAATTAACCTGATATGCATATTCTTATCATTAAAATTATTATAAAATATACTACTATCCATTTAAGCAAACTTGGATGCAATTTAAGAAAATACGTAAGTGCGGTATTTGAATAATTATTATTGAAATACTTAAAATATACTTTCCCATATAAGTGGTTCTTTGAAATTAATGGGATAAATATGCGAGAAGAAAGCAATAATTCTCTTCAAAATTGAAGTATAAAAATTTTTAATACAAAATGAATCTTCTAGGATGGGATTAAAAAAGAAGGATCATATTCATCTTCCGATCAATAATATCATACAAAAAAAATCACAATACCCGGTTTTTAAATAATTATAAAACTCAGTATACAATAATATTAAAAAAAATTTTTTTTTATCAATTTTAACAATACACAAAAAAGATGCTTACAAGAAATTTTATATTTTTAAGTTAATAAAGTCTTGTTGCTTTCCTTAAAACAACTCGAAGTTTAACTTCAAAAGTTACTTTTATTTGTTTATAATCTTTTTTATATAAAAATTGAACATTTTTTTCTATCAATAGCAAAAAAAATTCTAAACAAAGGTATATATAAAGATTTTATAGTTACCTTTTTCTTGAACTTTTCTATTTTTTAATTTGATTCTAAATTTTAAAATAATACAAATCTTGCTTAAGATAATTTATCAATATAAAATATATTGATAACAGAATATAAATAAGCTTATATTGGTTATAACACATTCTAATGATACTATTTATAGAAAAAATTAATTGATTTTTGATTTCTTTTTTTTTTTTTAATTTTAACCTTCTGTCATACTAGTTATGCATACTTTTTAAACAATTGTAGACTATATATTATGTACTGTATATGATGCTAATGCTAAATTTTTAACTAACTCATTTATCAAAATTTTTATTCAAAACTCTAAATACAACTTTTAAAAGTAATTTATCACCCTATTAGTAGTTCAAGTAAAAACCCTAACATTATTATCCACAAGGATTTATCAATACATGAATATAAATATTTTTCTTTTTCTTTCAATTATTTTCATTTTGACCAATATTGGATTTTACTTGTACTAGTTGAAATTATGTTATTCAATAGCTGAATTATTGCTGAATTTGACAAAAATTAATAATAAAAAGATTGATGAAATATTTATGATTGTTTTCACTCGTTATTAAAAATATTAACAAAAAATTGATAAAAAAATATTAGCATATTGCAAAAAAAAAATTTAGTACAAATCTAACAATATTGTGACAAAAAAAAATTTTACATACTGTAGTAAAAAAAAAATTTTGTATACTGCAATACAAAAATTCAGCAAAAAAATTGATACTGTGGCAAAAAATTTGACAAAAAATTACTACAGTAAAAAATTTGGCAAAAAAATTACTGCGGAAAAAAATTTAACAAAAATTGATACTATAATAAAAAATTCGGTAAAAAATTATTGCAGCAAAAAATTTAAATTTCATAAAATTTATTAAAAAATTATAAATTCAATTAACTAAATTATTCATCATTTTCCTCTTTCTCTTTCTCCTCTTTTTTCTTTTCTACTTGCTTTTTTTTTCTTTTTAAAGATCTTGGCTTGACTCTTTTAAAACTAGTCCCAATTTATTTTATCTTGCTGAATATTTTCTGAAATTTTTTGCTTTTTTCTTCTAATCTAACTGCCTTCTGAATTTCACCTATTTATATACTTTCTCCAGTTTGTTTCTTTAACTATAAGAAGTAATTATGATTAATATTGTAATTATTCGACATATAATATTTTACTGAAAAATACTTCTTCAGAATGCCAATTGTAATCTTATACATTTATTCTTCTTTTAGTGGGATTTCCCGGATCAGTGTTATTTTCTTTAGATAAATGTATCTTTGTTTAATTACATCAGTTAATTTATTCTGATATTTGACAACTTTTTTTGATCTTCATTCAATAAGTGACTATGTGTTTTTAATTCTTTATACACTTTTCTTAATTATTTATTAAAAATTAATATTTGAAGATAGTATAAATGCAGAATATTATTAATCTTACTTTGTTTAACTAGCTATTTGTATGTAAGTGATGATTGTCTACTTCTAGTTTTTCAATTTCTACCTTCTGATATTTTCCTCTCTGATAGTGATATAAAGTGCCTAATCATTCGTTTATTTGTTTTCATGAGAAATTAAAATGTGGAACCATAGATTTTATTAATTTGGATATCAACTTTTGTAATATTTTTTTATTCACATCACTTGAAAAAACTTTGTCTATCCTTAGTTTATATTTGTCATAGATAGTTTTCATTAAGGTCTTTATTTTTACTTTTACTTTTTAAGGTTTCAACTCATCTTCGCTCTTTGATGGTGATATAACGTGCCTAACCATTCATTTATTTGCTTACATAAGGAATTAAAATATGGGACTATAGATTTTATGATATCAACTTTTGTAATATTTTTTTTATTTATATCACTCAAAAAAACCTTAACTATCCTTAGTTTATATTTGTCAGAAATAGTTTTCATTAAGGTCTTTATTTCTACTTTTACTTTTTAAGATTTCAGCTCATCTTCGATAATCAGTTTTACCAGTTTTGCCTTTTTACTACTTCTTCTAGATTGAATTCTTTAGTGCTTTTCTAAACCCAGCAAACTTTTGGATTCTAAAATATCGGCTACTCTAAATTCTACAATCACTATAAGATCAAGTTCAGGTTTCACAAATTTGAGCCAATCAATTTTTTTTTTTAAATCTTCTATTTCATTTTTTTGTTGTTTTTATTCTTCAAAAAACTTGTTATTAATATATTTCATTAAGTCTAATTATTTTACAAATTCAGTATTTTTTCTTTCTAGTATTTCAACCTACATGTATAATTTTTTATTTTTTAAATAAATCGTTTGATTAATAAAGATAAATTTTAATAATTCAGCAATAATTTAATTCTAATCTTTTTTAATATCCTTACTGATTCAAGTTTTGGATAGCAATTCAACTTCTGGTGTTGATATTTGCAACTTCAGATGCCAATATTTTAAGCAATACAATAAATGACCTTTTTCTAAGCAATTCAACAGTCATAGTAGGAATTGAAGATTTGATATTAGGTATTACTAAATGAACTGTTGTCACTTTTGATACAGTTGATATGGAAGAAGTTTTCAATGGCAGGAAAGGTTGTGAAGACTGCAAAGATAAAGGTGACTATTCTTTATAAAAAGTGTGTCCAGTTGATTTTTTTTGTTCAGATATTTTAGGTATTAAAAAAAAAATATTAAATTAAAGAAATATTTAAATAAAATTATTCATATTGTTTTAATACAATTCAGGACTGTATACAATATTATACTATTATTTGTTATATTATATAGTATTATAATTCAGATTTATATATTATATTATACTATATATTATTTATCATATTATTATTATTATTTTTTTTTTAAACACTGACTTATCCTGCACCTCTTCAGTCACTTTATTTAAAGAAAATTATATTTAGAAACAATCAGGATGAATATTTTCCTGTACTGTCTGAGGATTTACAGATAATTAGAGAGAAAATAGTACAAAAAGTTATTTATTTGTAACACTCGATCTAAGTCTAACCTAATCAGGATAAGAAAAATACATAACTATCTAATATAAATACTTTTTTCTAATAACAAAGAGAAAATTATCAGAATATACTTTATATTATAAAATATATTGCTAAATCCCTCAGATCCTTAGAAATTTTCTTTTTAGGCAATACACCCAAGGAAAGAGACAATATACACAACTCAAGACATATACTCTCACAATACCAACATACAAGAGACATCTTAGCACAGAACAACACTTCGTGCATAGTTTTAGTCT